CAGTCCCCCCCAGTCCCATCCCAGTTCCCCCCAGTCCGCACCAGTATCTCCTCTCCGCAGTCGTATTTCTGCTCGATCTCCCGGCCCAGTTCCCCCTCCGGCAGCCGCAGATCCTCCCGCACCTCCCCGCTGTCCTGGAGCAGCGACAGGTACCCGTCCTGGATCCCGATCAGCTGCAGGTGAGAGACAGGTGTGTCAGACAGGTAACACCCACAGGTACCCGTCCTGGATCCCGATCAGCTACAGGTGAGACAGGTGAGAGACAGGTGTGAGATACAGGTAACACCCACAGGTAACACCCACAGGTACCCGTCCTGGATCCCGATCAGCTGCAGGTGAGACAGGTGAGATACAGGTGAGATACAGGTAACACACACAGGTAACACCCGCAGGTACCCGTCCTGGATCCCGATCAGCTGCAGGTGAGAGACAGGTGAGATACAGGTGAGATACAGGTAACACCCACAGGTGAGACAGGTAACACCCACAGGTACCCGTCCTGGATCCCGATCAGCTGCAGGTGAGACAGGTGAGAGACAGGTGTGTCAGACAGGTAACACCCACAGGTAACACACACAGGTACCCGTCCTGGATCCCGATCAGCTACAGGTGAGACAGGTGTGTCAGACAGGTGTGTCTGACAGGTGTGTGTGTCAGACAGGTAACACCCACAGGTGAGACAGGTAACACCCGCAGGTACCCGTCCTGGATCCCGATCAGCTGGACAGGTGACAGACAGGTGTGAGACAGGTGAGTTCAGGTGTATCCCCAGGTGTGTTCAGGTGTATCCCCAGGTGTGTTCAGGTGTGTTCAGGTGTATCACAGGTGTGTTCAGGTGTATCCCCAGGTGTGTTCAGGTGTATCACAGGTGTGTTCAGGTGTGTCACAGGTGTGTTACAGGTGTGTTCAGGTGTGTTCAGGTGTATCCCCAGGTGTGTTCAGGTGTATCACAGGTGTGTTCAGGTGTGTCACAGGTGTGTTACAGGTGTGTTCAGGTGTGTCACAGGTGTGTTCAGGTGTGTCTCACCTGGAAGTCGTTCCGTTTGATGTTGGGCACGTCCATGTTGTGGGTGGACGGACAGATGTGCCCAGGTGTGTTACAGGTGTATCCCCAGGTGTGTTCAGGTGTATCCCCAGGTGTGTTACAGGTGTATCACAGGTGTGTCACAGGTGTGTTCAGGTGTGTTCAGGTGTGTCACAGGTGTGTTCAGGTGTGTTCAGGTGTATCACAGGTGTGTCACAGGTGTGTTCAGGTGTGTTCAGGTGTATCACAGGTGTGTTCAGGTGTGTTCAGGTGTATCCCCAGGTGTGTTCAGGTGTGTCACAGGTGTGTTCAGGTGTGTTACAGGTGTGTTCAGGTGTGTCACAGGTGTATCACAGGTGTGTTCAGGTGTATCACAGGTGTGTTCAGGTGTATCACAGGTGTGTTCAGGTGTGTTACAGGTGTGTTCAGGTGTAGCTCACCTGGAAGTCGTTCCGTTTGATGTTGGGCACGTCCATGTTGTGGGTGGACGGACAGATGTCCTCGTACTTCTTGCCCGTGAAGATGTCGATGCCCACCAGGTGCACCTGGGGGGAGCTGGGGTTACTGGGAGGGACTGGGGGAACTGGGAATGGGGTAAGGGGCATACTGGGAGGGACTGGGGGAACTGGGAATGGGGTAAGGGGCATACTGGGAGCACTGGGAGCACTGGGAATGGGGTCAGAGCCATACTGGGAGCACTGGGAATGGGG